AAAGAGAAGGGAAAAAAAAAAAAAAAAGTAGTATGGCGAAGTGTAAACAATCCCCCTCCCGCCGCGGCCCGCGGAGTTTGGAAAGTTTGCGGCGCGGGGGAGGGGGCGGCGGCAGGGCCGGGGCGAGCGGGCACCGGGAGCGCGGCGGCGGCGGGAGCCGGGGAACGAGCGTGGGGGTGTGGGGGAGAGGAAAGAGAGGGGAAAAAAAAAAGGCACTTACCGTTCTCGCCGTCGGAGAGAGCGATCCATTGGGCAGATACGGGCTGCTGAGGTCGGGGATCATTATAAAGGGATAACCCGGGTATGGTGGGCCCTTAAACAACCCTCCATCTTGCCTCTTCGCAGCTAACATGGCGGGGAGACACGAGCAGGAGCGGGGAAGGAAGGGGGCAACAGGGGGAAGAGAAGGGAGGAGAGGGGGGAAGGAAAAGTTTTTTTAGCAAGTGTCCCCAAAAGAGGAGCCGGGCGCCCGGCGGAGGGGCGGCGGTGCGGAGCGGGCGGCGGTGCCGGCCGGGCCCGCGTACTCACCTTCCTCTAAACTTTCCCGGGATTTATCTCTGAAAGTTTCGGACCGAGGCGGGGGCCGCCGCTCCGCCTGGGAGCGAGCCGGGGGTCGGCGTGGGGCAGTTGGAGAACGGGGTGGTTGGGGTGGGGAGGATGTTTTTTGGGGGGTGGGGGGGAGAAGGGACAAGAGAAGGAATGAAAGACGAAAAAGAAGGGAGAGGTGCGGGGAGAAGGTGGAAGGGGAAACAAACAGAACAAAACAGAAGGCATCGTTACAAGTTGGTGCCGCGGAGAAAGTTGGGCGCCGGCGGGAGCGGGACCCAGCGCGGCGCCCCCGGCCCCGGCGCGGCCCCGGGCACAGCGCGGCCCCCGCCCGCCCGCCCGCCGCCCCGAAACGGCCCCGCGGGGGGCTTCCCCCGTACCTCCGAGTCTGAGGAGCTGTTTTGATTCGTTTCTGATTCATTGACGAGAGACGACTTGACATCAGCTAAATCCCTCTCCGCCGAGGAGTTCTCGGAGATCTTCTCCTCCTGCTCCCCTTCGTCTTTGAAAGAGATCAGTTCATCGTTGGCGCCCAGGTCGTCCCCTCCACCGCCGTTCAGCTGCGGCATTTTCCTCCTGCTTCACCCCACCAGCAGCAATTTTGCAAAAAGGGGAAGGGGAAAAACAAAAGAAAAAAAAAAAAAAAGGAGGGGAATGGGGGGGGGGGGGGGGAAGGAAAAAGAAGAGGGGGGGGGAAAGTTTGCACCAAAAAAAGAAGAGTCCAAGGTGAAAGTTTCTTTTTTTCCCCTTCTCTTTCCTCCTGGGGAGGGGAAAAGAGGGAGGAGGAGGGGAGGGAAATGTCTCTTCTTTGCTCCTTTGCACCAGTGACTTTAGGCTTCTTCCTTTCCTTCTTCGGGATTTTCTCTTTCTTTCTTCCCGGGAGCTGCTCGGCGTGCAGTGCGCGCACACGCACACCCGCGCACGCACTCGCGGAAAAATTAATAATAATAAAAAATATATAAACCGTGGGGAGGGGGGAGCAGCGGGGGGGAGGGGGGTTAAAAAAAAAAAAAATAATGCAACAAACCAAGCCCAGAAGTCAGCTGTGACGGGGGGGCAGTCGCCGCGGATATGGGGAGCCTGTGCCGCTCGGGTTTGAGTGAGTTGAAGTTGGACTGAGAGCTTTTCAGTTCAAAGGCGGCGCTGATTGACAGATAGAAAAAGGGGGATCGAAATCCGGAGGAACGGAGAAGTCTGGGATCCGGGATTATTGACAGGGAGCGAGAAACACACCAGGCACTTAATGAGATGCAGGAGAGGGCGGGGGCTCCCCGGTGACGTCTGCATAAATAAACAGGTCTGGGGCGCGGGAGGGGGAGGAGGGTGGGGAAGTAGGAAACTAACAATGATCCTTTTTGGCATGGGAGCGGGAGCGCGAGGGGAGGGCGGCGGGGGCGGGGGCGCGGGCGCCGCTGGGGGGGCCGGCACGCAAAAGGGGGGTGGGGGGGGAGGTAGGGGGGAAAAAAAAAAATTAAAAATTGTGCGCCGTAGCTCGGAGCTGCGGGACGGGGGGGACGAGGGGAAAAACACTCGAACGGGTGTCCCTGACTCCGCGCTCCGGGAGCGCCAACTTTTACATTTTGGACATTAATAAACATATCATCCCCCCGGAGCCCGGGTTCTCCTGAAGGATGTTTGTGTGCCCTTATTATTTGGGTACATGTGACGGCAGGGTGGTGCGGTGGGTGCTTTTTTTAAACCGTTAACATTTTTCATGCCACTCGTTGGAGGTAAGAAACTCCAATCATAATAAACACTAGAATATAGTAAAAGCCTTTTTTTTTTTTCAGCGGCACTTGGTCCTTGCATTTATTATGGTTATAACACGCAGGATAAAAATGTGTGAGATCACTCACTGAAGATCAGATATTTCCAAATTATCTTATAGTAAGGCATAATGTTTTCTGGTCCTTGATGTAAAAAAAAAAAAAAAAAAAAAAAGAGAGAGAGAGAGAGGAGGAAAAGGAATGTGACTGCTAAGAAGTTAATTAGCATGGCAGGACAGAGAATCAAGGACTCCCAGACTTCAGAAGTGAAAAGTTGTGGTGGCGTAAACATCACGCTGCTGGGGGGAATCGAAGAGAAGGGGGGTCCGTGCTCCGGCCGCGGGGTCCCCGCGGGGCGCGGAGCCCGGCCGGGGCCGCCCGGTCCGGCCGGGGCTGCGGGAGGCACCGGCCGGGCTCTGCCTGCACGGCAACAAAACGGGGGGCAGAGCCATGCGGATGCGAGAAATGGCATCTGTTCCCCGAATCTAACGTGGCGAGAGGAAGGGGAAAACAAATTGATCTTCCAGCAGTGACAAATTGTAACAATGGACGAGTCAATCGGAAACTTTAACGTGGGCAAGGAACAAAAGGAGGGGAGTGGGGAGGGGGGCGGGGGGGCGACAGTAATTTCAATGGGAGTTAGTAAATTGCCTAATGGAAATGGTGTTTGAAAGCAAGGGACAGGCTGTACTAAATAATCCAAACATTCCTCCAGAAATCTAACCTGCTGCTCATGCTAAGGGTCATTCAGCACATAGGGTTTCCAAAACAAAGCCAATTTGTCATGCAATATTTAGAGTTTGGGGGTTTCAGCTAAACTGTCTTCTATAAAAAGAATAAGAAAAATAATAATACAGAGATCGACAAGGCTAACACGAATTCTCAGGCATTAAAAAGTTCACATAGAAATTTGCATACTAAAGGGAAAGATGCAGACAAAATAGAAATAAAAAAATCACTGCAACTTACAACTTTAATATTAATCAGTAAAGCAGAAGTAGAGTGAAAGGAAGCATGAAAAGAAGTAAAACAAATGTGTACATTTAATCAGACAGGATTGCATAGGACACAAAGAACAGGGCTAATTAGTCTCAGCAGGTAGGGACTAACCTTCAGACTTCATAAATAAATAAGTCTGTGAACAATGTCTAAGTGGGAATATGGAGACAGAAAAGGGATTATTTTAAGACACCAACTAAAAACATGACTAATGAAATACTTCACTGTTAACTCAATGTACAAATGCATTGAACAGTTTATTTTTTCCACTGGTCTTTTGACTAACTTGCTTTTTACTTTCAGAAATTGTACTAAATAACTGTCTGTGGGCATGCACACTCCCCATTTGCCCCTGATTATATACTTAGTCTCTGCAAACTAGTGCCTTGCAGAGTGACACCTTAACAAATATTCTCCATTTTTGTTTGCTTTTCGATTTTAAATGCCTTTATGTCCCAAAACAATATGAGATTAGAAATACAAATGTGACAGACTCCTATTTATTTTGCAGGGCCGTGTGCTATAATTTGATCCAAATGAACAAAAACAGTTGCACAGTTTTGTTTTGTTTTTCTAAGGTTTTTCTGCTGTGTGTTTTTCTTTAAACAAGCATGCTTTTGCTTCAGTCCCAGCGTAGTTGCTAACTACTTAGTAAGCACCATCAAAAATCATTGTGCAGGGCAGAGCCAGTTGTTGCCCTAAGCTGGTTGCAGAAGAAGGGACTGATTCTGTAGAGGCTGACACGCGTGAGTCACATCACTGCCAGGTGACTTGTGGAGGTGATGCCACACCTGGACTACTCATGCAAGTCATGTTACTCACATGAGTAAATGCTGCTGGAAGGGAGCTCAGTGTTGTTTGCCCCGGTGCCAGCTGGTGGTCCTGCTGTGGAAGATGGCTCTGGAAGGGTGAGGGGCTGTGCCCCAGATGTGGAAGGTGTTTCCCAGGCATGTTTTTGCAGCTGGGGTTTTGCCCCCACGGTGGATTCAGAGGAGTCCTGTGAAGGGCCAGGGAACTGCTTTCTTGTTTTCATCAAGTTCTCCCTTTTGCAAACTTCATGGGGTTTGTTTCCAAACTGCAGCCTAGAGCTGGTGTGGTTGTGAAGCCCAAGGATTGTAGATGGCTACTGAACCAACAGTTTAATGAAGGCAGTACAAATAACTTCGGATAGCTTGTACATCTAATTTGTATCATTTCTCCTTATGTAACAATTTGTTTCACAGTCAGGGAAGTGAGAGCGCTCCAGGGGTCAATGGCAGTTGTTGAGTAGTAGGTTCTCAGATGATAGCTTGGATTTTTAAAATGTATACTGTTTAACAGTGAAAGAAACACAATATAAAAAAAAAAAAAAAAATTCAAGCTAGTCCATGTCACGAAACATGATTTATTGTTTGAATACCCAATTTTAAGTGACAGCTGGAGACACAAAGCCAGGTGCTCCACATTCAAGAGATGTTGTCTTTCTTGCCAAAGCTGACCTCTAGCACATATGAAGAAGTGGAAGTGCCTTTCTCCAAGCTTTTGTAACCCTCACCACTTGGAACAATTATACCAAATGCTGAGCTATGGGGTTTGGTGACCGACGACGGAGTCACCATTTTACACTTTGGCCCAACAGTTTGGTCCTAAGACTCCTGCAGGAGAAGAGCAGCAGTGAAAAAGAATGTCAGGTTCACCTCACAGCTCACAGTGCAATGAACCGAAGAGAGAAGAGGTTGACATCAGCCAGACAAGGAAATTTACTGTTTTATGAAGAATGTTTTGGAGTTTTAATGTCTCACCAAAGGCCCAAGCCTTTATTGGAGAAATATGGCCTGCTAAATGCCAGCTGGATCTCCTGGCTAATGTCTACATATTTGGTGTGAATCTGTTTTCGTGGTCTTCTTCAAGAGGTCCCAATGTAGGTTGCAATGTGTAAAATTAAAATTATTTATTCTGGAAAGATAAAAGTACTTTGGTTGACCAGACTGGGATTTGAGTCTACAGCTCAAAGGAATCTGCATGTTTACAAATAATCTTGGATCATTGAATCTGCTCTAAATGTCAAAAAAAAAAAAAAAAATCAATATTGAAAAGGTTCCAATAACTGGAAGCAAACACATCTGCCTGGTGTCTTACCAGTACTGGCTTTTCCAGAGTTAGCAAAGAGGGGAAATTTTTTCTAGGGCAGACGAGATGACAGCATGAAAACACAGAAACCATGGCTCCTGTCTGCAGTCATTTGCATTGACTGAAACAAGCACACGTGAAAATTCAAGAAACCTACTAAACAGGAAAATATCAACAAACAGCCAGATCATGGTGCTACTGGCAGATTATTTTGTGGCTTTAGATGTCACACATCAGGTGTGACACCACACATCAGGTGACAGTGACCTGTCACGAGGTCACTGTGTACTATTTGATTAAGGAGGACTTTCTATCTTCATTTGATGGAGAAACATTGGAAAATTAGTTCCAAAAAACTGCATGCATTTTTTTTCAAGCTCATAACACAGTCTAATGGCTCTCAATCCATGCTTTGCTTCCCAAGTCATGCCTATTGCTCAGTAGGAACATCCCTCCCTTTTAGCACCTAAACCACAGCTGTACCACTTGCTTTTGTTAGAGATAATTCTGTCAAATAATAAAATCGTTAATGGGTAGAAATATGCATTCATGCAGGGATTATTCACACTTTATCATGAGGTGATATCAAGCACTATAGGAGTGAATGACAAGAAATAGGCTTCTGAAATGCAGAGCCCTCCATAAATATACCATTTTTATTGACAACTCATCTTTTAACCCTAATAGTAATGGAAGAAATCCAATAAATGAAACATTTACTGCATAACTTGCCTTATTTTCGGGTGGTGTCTGATTCCTTTCTAGCTGTCTCTAGAA